ACCATACAATCAGTTTAATGAAATTAAAGAAACAGACAAAAATGGTTCTATAACTGTATATTCAGCAATATGGAAAAATGGCCCATTACAATATAATGAAAATGAATATATAAGAGTTTCAAATAAAGAAGTTGCTTTAAAATGTTTGCATAACTTACAATATCCTGTTGATTCTCTAATAAATGAGGTATAAATTTCTATAAATATTATTACATTTATTATATTTTTTTAATATAATGTTAATTTTCTGCTTATGATTTTAGGCTAAAAAATATTCAACAAAATTTGATATGTTTCTTGTGTTATATGGAATATCTCAAAATCCAGTTACAAGTGATTATATTTTAGTTCAAAATTATCTTATTCTGAGTGGAAATGAAAAAATTGATGATTTTATTCAAGAAAGACAATTAAATATTAATTCCTATAATAATGTAGTATTTGAATGGATACCATACAATCAGTTTAATGAAATTAAAGAAACAGGTAAAAATAATTCTATAACTGTATATTCAGCAATATGGAAAAATGGTCCATTACATTATAATTACCATAATAAATATTATACAAGAGATTCAAATAAAGAAGTTGCATTAAAATTTTTGCATAATTCACAAAATTCCATAGAATCTGTAATAAATAAGGTATAATATTTTTACAAACTGTTTAATTAATAACATGTGCTTTTTAACATATCATTATTTTGTTTATATTTAGGCTAAAAAATATGATGAGTTTCTTATATTGTATGGAATATCTCAAAATCCAAATACCAATGACTATATATTGGCTTTATTTTCTGAAGAATATTGTGTCATATGTGATGAAATATGTACAGATATCCAGTATAAATGGTGTAAACCATGTAAATTTATGGGCTGGAAAAGTGGAAATGATAAAATTGATAATTTATTAATTCAATTAAAAATTAATGAACCAAGTGATTTAAGGTTTGAATGGATACCATACAATCAGTTTAATAAAATTAGGAATACAGGCAAAGGTCATTTTGTTACAGTATGTTCAGCAATATGGTAATATGAAGTTACTTTATTATGTTATAACGACTCACAAAAACTTCTAGTTAAGGTATGAAATAATTTTTATTTTAATATAATTTTCTTTAATTTAATAATATATTTTTAATTTAACAGGTTAAAGAATTTGATAGTAGCTTCAAAATATATGGATTATCTCAAAATTCAGATAAAAAAGATTACATTTTAGTTCTTCAAAAAGAATATTGTTTGGAATATGGTAAAAAATACTGTAAAAATTGTGGAGTAAAATTTACTCAAATAAAATATTTGTGGTGTAAACTATGTCAAATAAATAATTTTATAAAATGGACAAATTGAAATGAAAAATTTATTAATTTAATTCAAGAAATGCAATTAAGGATAGATTCTTGTTTTAATATAGTATTTGAATGGATACCATATGATCAATTCAATTACATTAAGGAAATAGGTAAAGGTGGATTTGCTGTAGTATATTCAGCAATATGGAAAGATGGTCCATTAAAATATGATATTGATAAGAAAACGTATACAAGAGTTTCAAACAAAAAAATTGCTTTAAAATGTCTGAATAATTCATCAAATTTAATTGATAAATTCTTAAATGAGGTATGAAAATTTTTATGAATTTATAGTGTAATTGATCAAAAACCTTTTTAAAGTTAATGATATATATTTTTAAATAGGTTAAAGAATATTCAATTAATAAAAAGAGTGATATTCTTAATGTATATGGAATATCTCAAAATCCAGATACAAACAATTTTATCATAGTTCTTGAATATGCAGAAGGTGGAAGTTTTAATAATTGGATAAATAATAATTATAAATATTTTGATTGGAAAAATAAAATACAAACACTACTATATATCATTGAAGGTCTTAATGGGATTCATCAAAATAAGAAGGTTCATCATGATTTACATCCAGGGAATATATTATTTTTAACAAAAAGTTTAAATACTTTTAATAGAAAATCATTATTTATATCTGATATGGGATTATGTGAAGACGTAAATAATACAAGTGAGGTACAATCTTATGGAGTTATTTCTTATATGGCTCCTGAGGTGTTAAGAAATGAAGCTTATACCCAAGCAGCAGATGTATATAGCTTTGGTATGATTATGTATTTCACAGCAACTGGAAAACAACCTTTTGTCAATCGTGCACATGATTATCATCTAATATTAGAAATATGTGAAGGAATTAGACCTGAAATAAGTGAGTTGGAAGTGCCAAAATGTTATGTTGACTTAATGAAAAGATGTTGGGATTCAAATCCAGATAATAGACCAAATACTACGGAAATACATGAATTAATTGAGTCATTTTTTAATTTCTATAATTTATATAAAAAAGGTGATTCAAATGCAATAGAAATTAGAAAGCAATTTATAGAAGCAGAAATTTACAGAAAATCACACCTTTCAGATTCTTTTAAAAAAATCAAACATCCACAAGCAATTTATACATCTCAATTAGTACCCAATTTTTTTACAGAAGATTTTCTAAAATCTGAATATTTAAGTTGCGCAATCCTTGATAAATGATAATATATTCAGATTAACTTTCAAATATCTTCAATACATCAATTAGATTTTCCAAACTCTTTAATATCTTACTATGGAAAACTTAAAATGCAGACAGATATATATATGATTGTAATATTTTGTCCTTATTACAATATTTTTGCATCAATTATAGAATTTGTTTAATATCATGTATAGATGTTTGTTCATAATGTTTCTGCATCAAAAAATCAGCCTTCTTTCTCTATTATTAACACTAGTAATCTGAATTATAATTATCAATATTATTGATAATCATTTTAGATAGAGTAATTATATATTTTTTTACATTATGTAGTTAGTTTTTGTTCTACACTGATTATAGAGTATATGTAAGTTTTTACTTCATAAATAAAATCAGTTTGTAATTGAGCAGAAGTTTAACAAACCTAAATATATATAATCTGACACTAATAATTTCCAGGAATAATTTAGTTAATTACTTTGTTTTAATCACGAGAATTAAAATTCACTATTTATTTTGATGCAAAAATTATTTTAAAGTCTATTATAGGTATTATCTTGCTTGGTTTAATAAATTAATGACCTTCGACATCCGGAATCAGATTGATAATACAATTTTCAATTTCAGCAACAATCTTAAGCCTCAAGAAGGTTGGTGTTTCATTCAACTTCTTGGAAAGTAGTTAATTGTCCATAATGAGATAAATATAACATTTTATGTCACGTAAGTATAAAAACTTATGAATTTACTATCTCTAAGTTTATAGTTAAATAATATTATTGTGAAAATAATTTTTATGATATCACTATAAAAAAGTTTTATCCGAATATTTCCGTGGCTTTCGTAAAGTTCCGTAAAAAAATGATACATTCGCGGATATCCGTGTTAGAGAGATGAAAATTTCCATGATTTAAGGCTATAAATTCCATGAAACGATACATTCATGGAAAAAACGTGGAATATAAAACACTTTTATATGTAAAATCCAAAATATTAAATGTTTTGGTGACTATGTTTCTAAACTTTTAAAAGCTTACTTAATCCGAAATTTAATCCCTTAAATTATAATTTACGTATTTTCATGATTCTTAACATAGATTATGCAATCATACCATTTACATTGGCTGTTAGTACAATACTAGTATAATAATAGTACATGTTCCTCAAAAAAATCCATAATTATATAATAGTCTTCTTATTGTAGATTGAGCAGAATAATATCAGATATACTAATAAGATATTTATTATAAAATTTTAAGAGCCTGGACTTGAGTTAGAATAATCATGCAAAAAATTTTTTTAATTAAAAAGCGAAACCCTTTTGTAATTTTACTGACCGAAAAAAGTTTAGTGCCGGCCAGAACTACAATTAATCGTCCAGCTGAGTTTTTCTAAACCTTAAAGATTGATAATTTAAGAAGTTTATTGACATTTTCATTAGCTTTTTTTTGTAAGTATATTTGAATCAATTTTTTATTACTAGGTCCTTTAGAATTACTTATTGTGTATATTAGATAATTATTTAATGGTAGAAATTAAATTGGTTTGTTAAAAATAGCTTAAGTTCCATTCAGATACTTAGGTATTCCACTTATTATATTATTTTATAAATCCGCCTTTTACTTTTCTAATTAAATTTATTACATCTCATTAGTTAAACTTGATGCTAAATTATGCATACAGCTTTAAATATCTTATATTTAAAAAGAAATAAAAAATTTATATTTTTTATACAATCTTATAAGTAGGTTACGAGGTTCATTTGTTGTGTATAACATAAAATACTAAAGAAGCTAAATATCAAAATAATTAAAAAGGAATTTAGTTCATTTAAATGCCCAGATTGTGCAATTTTTATTTGTAGTATATTTATCATATGTAGTTTATTATGTAATTTACCTCGATAATGTTATTGATTGATTCATAGTTAACTGAAGCCAACTTTAAAATATTTGTAACATTTAGAGTAATAATTTTAGCCAGTTGTTGCGATTGCTAAAGCTATAATAAAGTTTAATAGTAGTTTGTTAAAACTTATAAATTAACCTCTGTATATAATATTCATTCGATGACAATGCATTCCGGTCCAAAATTGTTTTCATTATAGAGAAATAGCAAAATATAGTAATTTTATCTTTATATAATTTTTTATTGCTAAATTTATTATTAAAAAAATAGCGAGAGTCTATTATATGTAGATAGATCTTAGTGATTAACAATGTTGGTTTTCTAATTCTGGAAAAACCATCGTCGGCATCACTAATAATTTTACCAGAAATTTCTTGAATATGAACTGGATTTTTATAAGATGAAACAGTTGAGATTACAGTACTAGGTGCGGTCCTATAACTTGTAAATTTGCAGCTACAATACATTTAATATTTCCTGAGATTAGAATATGAAACAATATTAAATTATTAAAATAAAATGTTAGAATCTTGGTATAACACTGTTTTATCCCTATGTTTTGAAAATTTAACTGAGTACTTACTATAAATTCCTTTGGAATTTTATGAACTAATCAATGACTAAATAGATTAAGAATGTTAAAAACTTGATATGAATATTTCATAATAATTTTAAAAGTGTTCAAACAATCATATTATTTATATTATCTAAATTTTAAAGATTTACCAAACTAATATTTTTTTCTTAATTAAAAAAAGTAATGTATTTATTACCTTTGAATATTTAAAAATAAAATTTTATGGTATAATATTTTATCAGAACGTTCGTATTTGTAATTCTTATTCAACAGAATTATTAATAGACTTTAAAATAGACAAAACGAAAGTTAAGCTATTTAAGAAAGATTAAATCATACACATTATAATACGAAAAGTCATCATTACGAAAGGTATTCAAAGTCAACACGAAATTTATTATCAAATTAAAAAAATCTTTTACATAATTTTTTTCTTAAAAATAAAATAATAAAAATATTTTTTCGTTGAAACCTCTGTGCCGCGTATTTCATTACATTAAGAACTATGTTCACATTGTGAAATCAAACTAATATTCGAAAATTTTAATTTTTTTTCATAGTATTAAGAAAAAATTAAAAAAATTCATCGTAGCAGTAAAAAGTCACAATTTGATTAATAAGACAATATGTCAATATTAGAGTAATACTTATCCATTTTACAACTGGGCCGTTGTCCAAACCTTTTTTGACGAGCTGCGTAAAGTTTTTTTTACAAATATAAAAATTCACTATTCTTGTCAGACAATAAATTGGAAATGTTACGTGTGGAACATATTTGATATATAATGTACATTAAAGTAAGAAATAATTTCGGTTTAAAATACTTTCTTTTTTTTATATAATTATACATTAAAAATATACAGTACAGCAAAATTAAAAAAATTATCAAAAATTATCGTGCATTATAACATCTGTTGAAAAAGAATTATAATCATTATTTACATTCGTTAATCGTCAAAAAATGTCCTTTAAAATACATCACATTATTTTTACGTCGCGTAAAATTTATTTCAAAAAAAAAAATTATTTATTTTTCTCTTTTCTGGAATAATTAATAACATGGTGGCAATTATAATAGCAGCACTCACGGCTTCAACGCCTTTATCAACAGATTGTTTCTTCATATCATCCAGAAATAACTTATTGAATGGTCGGTCTAAAAAACAATTCGTGCGTAAATTTTATTTATGGAAATCTTCAACTGAATGAGGTCATGAATTGATAACAATTTAATCTATAATTTGAATCAGAATTATTGGATCATTTCATACACAATTTGGGAAGGTTTAATACATTCTAAGAGCGACAATTAATTGTAAATCATGAAGGGACACTGTGAGGTAGTAATATCTTGACAAGTAATTTACCTCGAAATTTTTTTTTGATGGATAGAATATTTTGTTAACTTGTATGAACAATTGTATTACATTATCTTGAAGATCTTTCCAATTTAGATTTAATATACAATGACGTTTTTGTTTACGGAAAAAATGATTTTAACAAAGAATGTTGCGTAATACTAATATTTTCTAAAATTAGAAACGGTCTTATCTTTTATGTCAAGAAAAAAAATTAAAGACTATCTAATCAAATTTAGTATCATTTGTGGTAGGTGTAGTAAAAACTGTATATTACAAATTTTTGTTATTCCAATTGATTCCTATTATTACACTTTTATCAAAGAAGTCGGAGAACTCATGCGACATAAATAAAACAAACCAAAAGAATTGTTAAACATTTTTTTACATATCTTTTTTTTTGCGTGGATATTATTACATGAATAAACTTTTTTTTTTAAAAAAATTAAATGTTAAGTAATCTTTCATAGTAACAAGAAATTTGATTAATATTTAAGAAAGGTATAAAAATAAAAGTAATAAAATTTGTCAACATAACACATTTTTGGGATATTATCATTATTTAATATTATTTTCGGTTTTTGGTTTTAAAGAACCGATTTCTTTGAAATACGAATAATAATTATCTTGTTATCGATTATAAATATTTATAATGTATGAACCATGTGCTATTTTTACGTGATTGCGTAAATTTTAAATAGAAAATTTATTGTAAAAATATTTATACAGTATTTTTATATATCAACAATTTTAATCAGCTAGTTTTAAAATTCTAAGCTAGAAAAATGTTTTTACTTCCCTTTTTTAAAAATTGCGGGTGGAGTAACTTAAATAATGATTTATGATCACATGATTTGTATTTTATTGGTTAAATAATATCACGTTATTTACGTGCATTGTGTTCTTTTACTAAATGTTATATAGTGTAGTTTGTAATTTTTCTTATTTCTAAATAAAGTAATTACATTTGACTTCGTTAAAAAATATATATATATATAATAAAATTATTAACAAATTATAATCATCCCTATGAGCATGAAAGAATTACCTGGGTAAATACAACCCAAATAAAAATAAATCAGGTCTGGACCTTCTATTACTTATATAAGTTTCATTTATATGTTACTCGAGAATTTGGTTAAATAAATAAAATGAAATAATATCAATATTGTATTATAAAAAAAAAATCTATTTTTTAGTTGTCTATCCTCTCATACGATTATGTGATGATGACGTGTAATCATTTATAGATTCTTGACCATACTCTTTTTTGGACCATTTTGAATTTGGAATTTGTAAATTTTTTACTTTTAGATAAATTAACTGAATGAAAAATATATTATTAAAGAAATAAGAACAATCATAAATTGCGTTAAAATTTTTGGATATTTTGACTATTTTAGAAAAATATTATAATTTTGAACAAAAATTATTGTTATATGACGTATATCACATAATAAATTTTTTAAAATTATTATTCAGTCATGACGTAATAGTTAGAATGAAATCAGTTACTTTGAAAAATAAATGAAGGAATTATATTATATAAGCTTTTTATAATATTCTGAAAATTCATCACCACAGTTAAAACGTCAATATATCACTTGCAAACAAATAACAAATATATTATATACTAAATAAACTATATAACTAATTTATATTTAATAGAAATTATTTCGAATGCTTTACGAAATTTAATAATATTTACTTACAATTTTCTGATGGTGCGTTGTAATGTTTATGTGTTTGACTATTTATTCCATATTATTTTCTTTTCGTGTTCTTATACGATTATAATAATTTGTTACTTCATGAAAAAAAATAATTTAACATGGTTATGAACTTTGAAAGCTTAACTGATAAAAAATGGAATATTCAATTCTAGTCATATTTGATAATTAATATTATATGAAAATACGTTTTTTTATTGTATACCTATTAATAACTTTGTATAAAAATGTCTCATTGGTATATAATGCCTATTAGTAGATTATAATGCTGGTCATATATCTAATTTTGGCTTGCATTACGCTAAAAAAAATACAGTACAAGCTACCAAATCTACATTTAGTAAGAAATTGTGGTTTATTAATTGGTCAGAAACTTTCTTAAACGGGAATTAAAATCATCATTGAAAACATATATTGTATGAAGTTTGACTGCATTGTTAAAATACGCATAACTCTAAATGTTTATGTACTGTTATTAACTTGAAAATTTATTATTTTAGGGGTTGAAACGAGTTTATATGACTATTGACCAATAAAGGTTAGAAATAAAGAATTTTATTTATAATTATATTTTTATCCTACCGTAACTAGTCCGTAACTTCAGTTATTTTCAACATATTCATCATAACTATTTCTTTCTATTATAGTGAATTAAATAAATTACAGTAATTAAATTATATGTTGCTTCTGCTAAGTATAATTCGTCTACAATTCCGTTGCCTATGCAACATGATATTAAAATCGATAAAGAAATTGTTTTTAAAATAAACTTTCTCATTATATCCATACGATCATACTTATCATTTAGGATTATACACAGGTTTCCCTATCTAACCTCAGTTTTTATATTCGTTCAAGTACATTTTACAGTGTGAAGAGTTGGTTATACCTTACCTTCAGTCCATCATGCTTGACAAAATATAGAAGAGAAAAGAGAAGCGCAAGGATTTTTTTTTTTAATTTGCCTCATGAGTTATTTAAGTATTTGGATGATCATAATGCATCCTTTGTTATTAGAAACTGTCAAAGTTAGGATATCTGGACATTTGTATCACTTTTCGTAAAATTATCACAAAAAGTTATAACCATTTAAAATTGCGATCATGTGAAAGCAATTTAATTGGCTGAAATTTTCCATAATTTGAGCTGAAATTATGGTCCAAAATTAATTTACAGCGATTATGAGTAAAATTTTGACATTCATAATAAATGAAAATCCTTATTTGAATAGGCTAATAACCATTTATTTCAAATGTAATATAAAACAAAGAGCAGATTATTAAGATACCTAGAAAAAAGAATGCTACAGACACAATGTTCGGATTAAGGCTGTTGAAGATGAAAAATGGATGAATAATAAAATTATTGAAGAATGGACAAATGGTGGAGTTGTTTGAAATCGAATAGAGGCTTAGAAGTGAAATGATTTATGATTAAATAAAAGAAGATTTGAAAGATTTTGAGAAAGTAGGAAAATATTTATGCACGAAAAATCTACAAATCTCAGAATTTTATTGGCTGACTAGATCACGTGATCAGATCGCTTACAAAATCATGTGATTTTCGAGATAAGACTTCTGGCTATGATTTCTAAGAGTAAAAAGTACCAATTTTTTTTAACAAAACTTCATAAACACATTATAAATGATATAAATTGCGTATTTATCTAAATATTATTCTACAAAGCTATAAAGATTTGAATTTTTTTATATGTAACTTTTTTGTGCTACAGAACATGATTGACATCGATTTTGATATTGCGTCGAGGTCACGTGATTGTAACAGAAATACACCTTAACGAATAGTTTGAAATTTAAAGTGCATGTGTGGAAATTAAAGTGCATACTTATTAAATTTATAATAAATGTATAACAATAAGTACGAAAAGTAAATGCCAAAATGCAATCACAAACAAAATAAAATTAACAATATTACTACCTCGCTATCGGCGATCTACAATATTTAATATGAATAAACTAAAACCTTATATATTAATCCTTCATCGCGTATAACTTACACTTAGTATAACTTGCAATGAGTGTAAGTTATACAAAGTATAAGTTATACAAAACACCAACAAATTGTTGATCATTTCAATTATGTCAGCGGTATGCCGAATTTTTGCCGAATTTTGCATACATGCTGATCTGCGCAACAATATTACTAGCTGTATTACATAAAATTTCTTTTTGGAATTTATTAACGCCCAAATTTCTTACATTCGAATAGTACTATTATTAAGAAATTTTTTGAGCATTACAAAATGTTTTTCAAAAAAAAACCTTTAGAGATACCTAACATTCTGGAATATTTAAAAAACGATTTTACAAATTGGACCAGTGGAAATGAAAAAATTGATAACTTCATTCAAGAAATGCAATTAAAAATCAATAATGAAAATGATGTAGTATTTGAATGGATACCATATAAACAATTTAATAAAATCAGAGAGACAGGCAAAAATGATTCTATAACAGTATATTCAGCAATATGGAAGGATGGTCCATTACATAAAGAGTATAGTTGGAGAAATTATAAAAGATATTCAATTAAAGAAGTTGCTTTAATATATTTACATAATTTACAAGAATCCGTTGATTCTTTAATAAATGAGGTACGAAATTTCTTTAAATATTGAAATACTTTTTTCAATTACTATATTTACAATCTCTTTTATTTATATTTAGGCTAAAAGATATTCAACAGATAAAGATGCTTTTCAAGTATTATATGGAATATCTCAAGATCCAGATACAGGAGATTATATTTTAGTTCAAAATAATCTTATAAACTTAGTAAATTGGGTCAGTGGAAATGAAAAAATTGATTATTTCATTCGAGAAAGGCAATTAAAAATAAATAACTATGATGATATAGTGCTAGAATGGATACCATACAATCAGTTTAATGAAATTAAAGAGACAGGCAAAAATGGCCTTATAACAGTATATTCAGCAATATGGAAGAATGGTCCATTATTTTATAACAAGCAGTATACAAAATATACAAGAGATTTATATAAAAAAATTGCTTTAAAATGTTTACATAATACACAAAAATCTATTGATTCATTAATAAATGAGGTATAAATTTCTTTAAATATTTATATAATTTTTTAATTAATATTTACATATCTCCTTTATTTATATTTAGGCTAAAAAATATCCAATAAAATATAAAGCATTTCAAGTACTATATGGTATATCTCAAAATCCAGATACAGGAGATTTTATTTTAGTTCTTACCTGGACAAGTGGAAACGAAAAAATTGATGATTTCATCCAAGAAAGGCAATTAAATATAATTAGCTATAGTGATATAGTGCTTGAATGGATACCATACAACCAGTTTAATGAAATTAAAGAGACAGGCAAAAATGGCCTTATAACAGTATATTCAGCAATATGGAAGGATGGTCCATTACATAAAGAG